ACCGCTTGATGGATTGTCGGAGCATTACAGCTACCGTAGTCGGGAGCCTCACGGAGCAATGCGTACTGTGCTTCAACATAATATTACTGCATTGTGTGCGTATAACCTCTTTTTAGGTTTTGTGGATATTATACATTTTTATGCAAAGGACATGTCTGCCAATTTCCACTGGAAATGCCTTTTGGTTGAACTGTCAGCAAGGAATTTGCATTTGCACTGTTAAATTTTTATATAGCTTTAATGCACATAAAAAAAACCGGCTGCTTGTTTAAGTGAAAATACATCGATGGTGGTTTTTTTGCACTAATAAAGTTGTGGAGGAGACAAAGTATTTTGTCTCGCGTCAATTATATCGTCAGTTATATCGTTATCGCAAATTTTCAAATATATATTGTGATAAATATTTTTGGCCATATTACCCTGCCCTATTGACATATCTATTGTAGTAGTACGGAGGTGGACTACAATGTCAAGCTCAACTGCAATCTGATCAGATCTTAATGCCAGCCCACATCGATCGATGGAAAATCTAATATATTTATATCAATATAGTTAATCTGCTTCAGACTGCCTGCAGTGAATGCATATCTGCAGGTATCTTTAAAAGCCACCTCCGCCACAGCTCCTTCTTTTATGCTGTGTTTCACTTAATCAATGTAATGTCTGCTTTCATTGATGCTTGCTCTATTTTGTGCTAACATCTATGGATGTGGAAAGGCTGGTAGGTGTGCAGTCCCAGAATAGAGGCATCAGATATAAATTACTGAAGATGGAAATAACTGTGTCTCTCAAACTATAGTTTTGCTGTCTAAAATATGGCTGTGTGAAACTGAAATATAGCTTAACTAATTTAACTAGAATTCCTGTTGCTTTCCAGTGAAATGAACACCTACAATAATGCAAAACAGGTATAAAATCTAGAATTCTTACAAATAAGAAAAACCTGATGGAAGTTACTGTATAGCAAAGACTAACAACTATGCTGTGATAGTGTTTTGTTCTAACACAATACAGTATCTAATTTATTGCTGCACAAGTTCCAAAGAGTAACCACTACGTGAAAGCTAGCAGCAAGTCAAAAAAAAAAAAAGCACCAGCACAGCTCTGGTTATCTGTCCAGATCTTTTTCTTTCTCTAGAAAATTGTGTCACTAAAAGCAATTAGGTGGACCTATCCATGACTCATATGAAAAATCATAACAGCCTTTTTATCCTTTCGATTCAGTGTCAAACTCCAGAACACAGGGCAAACTGTTATTTCATCCAGTTAATGGAATAAAGGACATTCAGAGTCAAACAACATTGCTATTATAATCATTATTGTGTCCATCTGCTCTTATTGCTACAGATTCCATTCTCATAAAGTAGGTGTGTGTGTCTATATGTCTGTGACCATGCTCACATTTTCTTTTACTCTTTTCTATCCATGAACACAACTTACAGGGTGTCAGGTTCCTCTCCTGCAGCACAGACAGCCACTTGGCCCCGGTACCAAAGATAGTGATGCTGATGAAGAAAAAAAAAAGATAAACATTATTCAGTTTGCCAAAAGTAGCGAGTGTTCTCGTATACTTTGAGAAGAAAAAGAAAAAAAAGGAAGAAAGAATTTGCGTCAGTGTTGCCAACACTGACAGTCATTGCAAAAGGCCTCCTACATACATGTACTATATTCTGCATTGTGACAGCAGGAACTCCAAACAACAGAACCAAGCTAGCAGACTTTATGAGTGGGGGTGGCATAAATATTGTTGCCAAGTTTCACTGCAATCTGGCTGGCTATTTTGGAAGGATGCTGCTGGACAAGGTGATGGATGAATAAGTGATAGATTCACAAAGCTGCCAATGATCCTTGTGACATCACAATCTTCACCATCACTGGGATATTCCTGAGTGTGTCAATCACAATTAAACATACCCTGTTTTAGTTCTTGGATGCTTTTGATTAATATCTTTAAACAAGAGAGGTGGTGAACAACTGCAAATATTAAGAGAAGCATTTTTAAATTCTTAAGGAGTTTTGTATTTAAAACCCTCACAAATCTGTGACACCTGTTACACCTACAGGCCAGTAGACACTCTGTCAATGATGAGGATATATACATCCTGGACAGGGAGGAACGCTGATTTGAGCGAGGAGTCAAGGAGGACATTTACGTGAAAAGGGAAAGACCATCTATGAATCGAGGAGGGGGCCTAAGGGTACATCTTTCACCACCTTACAATGCTGTTATTGCAGTAATTCACCAACTCTCTATGAATGGTACTCATGGCAATTGATCAATGGTCATTGACCAGTGGCCATGACAATGAAACTGACCTCATGGCCCATTGTTAGTCAGTGGTGCTAGTTTCAGTCATTATGTAAATGTAATGTTTAAAAGGTTGGGAAAACCTTTTACCAAAAGTCATTTGGATGAGTGACGAAATGTTTATCACACTGAAAATGCTGCATCCAGATGAAGAGAATCAATTTTTGGGGGTCTCTGAATTCTAAAAATGTGACACTTTAGATATTAGATAGTATGAAGGTTATTTAGATGCAAAAACATTGTACATCGTTTTAAACCAACATTTCTTGGTAACAAAAAAAAAAAAAAAGGTGAAGAGTAAATTCAGGTAAAATTAGTCATCAGCCAAGTCAAGTACTGTTAAGTTTATCTTCTTTGTAACATTTGCCAGATTGTTTGCAAGTACTCTACTCTTTATGGGTTTCAAAACATTTTTCAGTTGTCCTATGAAATCCATTGTCAAGAAACACATGCATGAGTGCAATAAAGCCCTTATATATCTGTATTAACATCACTGTACATTACTATTAAGGCAACGGTCAAGTAACTTCTGAATACAACATTTGTGATACTTGAAAGACCTGCCAATCTGCTTAAGACTTTGGTACTGAGACTGAACTGTAACATGGCTTCACTTGTTACCCTGAATCTATGCCGACAAGGGATAATTTCATTGTATCTGCTCTGAATGCAAAAACATAAAAAGGGCAACAGTTATTCAGCAGACCTTTGCCCTTAATCCCATGTGCTCCAGTGGAGCTGCTCAGTAGTCTGGTTGGACAAGGAAGCTCCCAGCGGGGGAGTGTGTGCCACTGTGTAAATGTAAAGGAAGGTGATGTTAAAACAGCTTGTGTGCTCATCCTTCTAGACAGATAAAATTTTAAAAAGGAAAGAAAGGGGGGGGGAAAACTGGCAAGGACAACTTTCAACTGGGTAAATACAAAAGAGAGCCGAAAAAAAATAAATAAATAAAGACAAATTGCTTCATTTTTAGATGTTCCGCAAGAAAATTGTTCAGATGAGAATGCAACAACACAATGGTTGCTCACGACAATTCTGGGAAAAATAATTTTAGAAAGTTTTGTCTGCGTGAATTGATGTCACCCTGACAGCTGACAACAGTTGGGAAACGTGGATGGTAAGAAGCGACAAAACGTCACTTTTGTGTTCCCCTGCCGTTTTAATTTTAAAACAAAGGGCCTTTTCAAGCCTGTCTGTAAATGGGTTTATTTGTGTCTCAGTCTATGTCTTGCTGTCTTTTTAAGTTATTTTTGTTGACATTAAATCAATCAAATTTCATCCATCGCTATGGTAACCATTTATGTCAATCATAAAAGGGCTGTCTCTATAAGAACAAACAACAGCTTGATGAACAATAATCAGGAATTGTTTTGCAGTGCAAGATCTCCTTTGCTCTCGGTGGCTCATTTTGATTAGTGGTGATAGGGGTAAATGAAGAGAGTGAGGATTTGATAACGGTCTCAAGATGCAACATGAAGTATGATTACGCAACTGTTGTCAGTGCTCTTTCTGTCAACTCACACTGAATCAAGTGTTTTATCTTGTTTTACCTTGTGAGTCAAATGTTATATCACACTATGTGTAACATTAAATGTTAAACCTATCTGACGTGATCAGACTTAACCAGACTTGGATGGCCATTTTCTGCAAATTCGGGAAAGAAGAACTGGGACCAGTAACAGTGGTTTATGACATTCATACAAAAACTGTGTTTCACTCTTGTCGTCCTGAAAGCATGCCAGTGTTTTGTGGACCACCCATTTGGCACAGCTATAATACCTCAAGGGCACCAACTGTACATGATGGAAAACCAAAATGAATGCTAAATTTTCAAAAGGTCCTTCTCCACCAGCATTTGTACAGATGATTTAACATGGAAACTTACAAGACTTCGGGAAGACAACAGAGGAACGTAAAGTATAGAAAGTACAAAAGTAGAACTATAGTGTCTAAAGTGCCTACGCCTGTGTGCGCGTGTGCTTTCAAGCTGTACTTCTCATTCACTTACAGTGTGGTTCATAATAAGGTAATAATATATTTCATGATATTAAAAATCTAAGAAGATTCAAACAGAAGAAAATATTAGAAAAACAACATACTTTATAATACTTATGTATTATTTTGTCAGTAGTTAATTAAGTTCTTTTAAAAATAGATTTTAATCATAAAATCTGTACTTCATCAAATTAATTTACAAAATTATTTCCAATGATATACACTGCAAATGTATTCAAATCCTTTAAATATTAAATATAGTGTGCTTGTTTTAGTTTAAAAGAAAAAAAAAAAGAGAAGATCACACACCAAGCAATTTAGACATATCGATAGACTAATGGATGTTTTTTCTGCATTTTGCATGCAGACCCTTTTTTGTTCTCTAAACCTACATACAGACAGTCATTATCCATCCTATCCATCCATTATCCATCATCTCTGATCCGCATATGAATTTTTTGGTTTCTGGCTACCATGGAAACAGTCGCTCTATTCTGATTGGAGGCAGGTGGCCAGGTGTAGCTGCTAATTGGGTGCTTAGGATGGAGGGTGGAGGAGAAGCTGTGAGTCTCTGTTTGTCAGAGTGTGTGACAGCATGTGCAAATATACCCGTGTCTGTTTCAGGGAAGACATGTTACTGGAAGCTACTAAGTCAATAAAAGACACTCAGGAGCAATCAGACACAAGAGGACCTCTGAGCAATTATCATGGTAATGTGTCCCTACGCGTGTCGTGATGTAGCAATTGAAGCTCCACTTGTCAGCGGAGTTTACAAATTATTCTCACACTTGTTCTCCATCACAGTTTGAGTATGTTGGAGATATGAAGCATTGTCCTCTTCACGTGTGCGTTAGACTAGAAGGAACAATGAGTAACTCCTGTTTGACAGTACATTTGTTTATTCAAATGTGAAAAATGAGGGAACTTTAGTGTAACTGCTATAGTTTACACCCTAAAGCTGCTAAATCAACGTAACCTGGTAACCTGGTAACCTGGATTTCAAAATTAAAGTCGTGACATTCTTTATAAGGTAAATATTGCATTTTGGATGTAAAAGAATTGTTAATTATGTTAATTAATTATGTTAAAGATTTGAAGATACCAGAAAATCCCATTACAGATAAGCTTTGAGTGCTCAAATACAGTAGAAAGCTCTGTATATGAACTATTTACCATATACGATAGATAGATGGATCCAGCTTGAAGAAGTGGATATTTTAATTGTTAAGCCCACATGTCTAAAACTGTAGCTGAGCTGGCAAGATGCAATCTGTTAAACTGTCTGTACTGTACTGAATCTCTTCCAAAGAATAAAATTAATAAATAACTGAGAATTTCATCTGGCAGTAATTAAAGATAAGACTTCCACACAGCAGTCGCTGGCACAAGAGTGGAGGAGGAGTTTTCCCGGACATAGTAGTTCAAAACATAATGAACAAAGGATTGAAGGGAAAACCTTTGAATAAATCTTGTGGCCATTTCATACATAGAACCCATTGAATAAAATTTTATTTTTTTGGCTCTCCTCAGAAATAATGCTAATTCAATTTTTACTCTGGCTGGTAAATCAACTAAAGTATAACACCTTACTGTAATACATTTAGTGACTGACTTTCTTCCTTGAAAGACTTGGAATGCCTTCCATTCAATTAAATGTTTGTATTTCTTGCTTGTCTGAATGTTTTACTTTAGAGATGACATCCAAATTAACATTTTCCATCACTGGGTCCCTTTAGGTATTCAGATCCCTTCATGGCTTTTGGCAGGTTTTACCACTACCTAAGTAAATACAGCTTACTGCTTTTCATCAAAGCCCCATCGTGACCCATTACTAGTGGTTATTTTCCCTTCCTAGCTCTAAAAATTCTTGAATTTTATTTCCATTGATATTCTGATCGGTTAGTAACCCAGCTGCATAACTGCACACCTAGAAGGTTTGATTGCAATCAGAGTATTACCTTTGGATTAAGATAGCAAATGTGATACTAGGCTATGAAGATCTATACTTGGCAAAAGATCTTAGAGCTATTTGTGTGTGTGTCTGTGTGTGTGTGTGTGTGTGTGTGTGTGTGTAACTGCCACAACTAAAAGATAACATGAATAGCTTTTTAATAAGAATTTAAATGTCTCTGATATTTGCCTGAATCCCAACACTGAAATTAACTCAGAAGCAGAAAGAGAAGACTTCTAAAAATACTATTATCTCTAATGAAGCTTACAGGATGTTTCTGAGGGACAGCTGCAGGGAAGAAAAGAGGGGACATGAAAACATAATACTGTTTTAATAATATTGTGTGGTGGAATTGAGCACTAGTCTCCCAGCCTTGTCAACCCTTTCCAGTTTATCTGGATGTTGCCTAGCAACACAAACAGAAATTTAGAGGCCCAGAAACAATTTCATGACATTTAAAATAGGAGACTGAGATCAAAATTGAAGTGAATTAATGACAGATATTTTTAAGTGATTTATATGTGGCATTTTGTAGGCATTTTGTGGACTGGATTGCAACGATGTGGTCTCGAAGTATTGGTGGTCGATTTTTTTCTGCCTCATAACCATAACAATTTACTTGTACACAAAGAACTAGTAAAATGCCTAACATTTGTTATGGATCATCTCAAAATCAATATGTGCAACCAATTAAAATAAACATCTCTACAGAGATGCTCCGCAAACCTCAGCCTCCCCTCACCTTTTCTTTTCTTTCCACATCATAAACACAGCAAATGTGCTCCAACTGCTAATCTTTTCCTATAATTTAAAATTATTTTATTCAGCATAAATTCAGCTGTTAAATCATTATCATGAAACACTAACCAATAAAACTCGAGGCAAAATGGGGACGCTTCAGTGTATGTTCCACACTTCCTGGGGCTCTAGCAGATTTGGTCCCAATTAAAATGTCCACCTTGAATTGAGAAGATCAATCTGTGAAAAAATTCATGTCAGTCTTTCCCAGAGGATTTTTGTTTTAAACATAGAAACTTGCTAATAGCGCTGACATCAGCTCTTAGCTGATCTTCACACAGTTTAAAAGGTTCTATCCATCTTTCTGTCATGGTGGTAGTCTTTCATTAAATTACGTTGGTATTTTTGCTAACCGCACTCTTACCTTGCTCATTGAATCGTTCCCTGACATACAGGGCCATAACCATCTGGACAATTCTACTTTTGTGTCATTATGCTTCTTTTTTCCCAGAACTGTGCGGACACTTTTAGATGTTTTCTGGCAAATTATAATCTGCTCCTCTTGTTCTTGACTGTAACCAGTGGTTTGCACTCTATTTGTAACCATTAAGACATCTCTTGATTGTAGACTCTGACAATGATACGCTTCAGAGTATTCTTGATTTCGGTTTTCTTAATAAAGGAAATAATTCTGCGATTATCTGCTTTAGTTGTGTTTTTGTAGTCTTTCGGGCCTTTTGCCGTTAAAATTTTTCCATCTCTCTGATTAATTTATTTTAGGTTTTAACCTACAGTAATAAGAACCTTCTTTAATTGCATCAATCTCTTTAAACCTAATTTCCAGTATGCTACAAATTCTGCACTTTTGAGTCAACTCCAGATCTTTTATCAGTTTAATTTGTGATGGAATAATGAGGGCACAGGCCTCATCTGGCAATGAAACTGCTTGTGTGTCAATTGTCCAATTACAACTATGAACAAATATGGCTGCATTTTCTAAACAGCTAATGCAATACATTTGTTAAAGCTCCTGAATTAAAACTGAAAATCTGACATCTTGAATGTTTAACTTAAAGATTATAGATCCTAATATATCCGATCATTGAA